AAGCCCTAAACCTTAAATCCTATACCCTAAACCCTAAACCCTAAAACCCTAAAGCCCTAAAACCCTAAACCCTAAACCCTAAAACCTAAAACCCTAAACCCTAAAGCCCTTTTCCGTCCGACCGGGGAGGTGTTTCTTCCTATCTCTGCGGAGGAGCGAGCTGCAGCCTTGGCCGGGAGCCCAAGCAGGCTTAGGGCTTAGGGGCGCCAGTCTCCTCGCCTGCAGTGGGCTGGGTGTCGGCTTTCCCACCGTTTTGAGCTGAGAGTTTGGGGTTTAGGGTTTAGNNGGTTTAGGGTGTAGAGCTTAGGGCTTAGGGCTTAGGGGAGTAGCGGTTTAGGGTTTAGGGTTTAGGGTTTTAGGGCTTAGGGTGTAGGGCTTTAGGGGCTTAGGGCTTAGGGCTTAGGGGAGTAGCGGTTTAGGGCTTAGGGCTTAGGGGAGTAGCGGTTTAGGGCTTAGGGCTTAGGGGTGTAGCGGTTTAGGGTTTAGGGGTTAGGGCCTAGGGTTTAGGGTTTAGGGTTTGGGGTTTGGGGTTTAGGGTTCGGGAGGATCATGGGACTTAGTAAGTAAGGTTATAAGTCCCTTAAGTGGGGTTGTAAGTAATTATAGGTTTAGTTACCTTAGTTATAACACTACTTACTACGTCCCATGATCCTGTAAGCAGAGCTATGTAGCTATAGGGGCTGTGGGACGTTTTAGGGTTTCGCGTTTGGGGTTCATTTAGGGTACAAACCCTAAACCCTAAACCCTAAAAGCTCCAAGGGATTGCACAAGGGATCTCATAGGGGGGAATCTCATAGGATGGCTTCATAATAGTTCGCGCTTGTTTTGCGTGGCCGGGTGGGGAGGGTGTTGTTTGATCAGGTTCCGGTCTTTGCTGTCCATGCCCGCAAGATGCAGTGAGGGTTTGTTACTAGCAATTAGGAACAGGAGGGCAGAGTTTGGGGTCGTAATGTAGGGGCCTTAATAATTAGAAGAGGGTTTTGGGGGTTCCTTATTATAATTGTAATATATGATGTACCCCCAAACCCTATTCTAATTATGAAGGCCTACATTATTCGCATTTATAGTTATTACCGTCATAAAACAGGCAGGCTCGCCAGCTGAATGGTGGCTTCCCTGCGAGTCAGAGTGGGTTTAGAGCTTTAGTTGACACCTCAGGTATAGATACGAGCTATACAAAAGCCCCTACTCAAGTTGAAGTACTTTGAGTCTGCTTGTGCCCACCCCTGCTTAACTCTAACTGTGGAACCCTGAACCCTAAACCGTTCAAGTGTTTCCGGGCGGACGCTTTCAGAATGAGCATGGGTTCGCGAGGCAGTGTCTTAGGCTTCTCTACAGGGTAAACTTGGGATCTACAGATATCCATATGGGTGGTTGTCAAAATTATGGTACCTTTTTGGGTCCCTAAAAAAAATACGGCACCTAATATTTAGGGTACCCAAAGAGGGACCCTAATTTTGACAACCACCCATATAGAGCCCTATGAGTCCGAAGCGCCTGCATAGTATGTGCATTCGCCTCTGTAGGTACTGTACAGCCAGCGTACATACTGTACAGACATATGAACCCATGGACATAGAGTAAGCTGAGCACTGAAGCAATGAAGCATCATTGCCCTAGAGGGTCCAAGTACCCAAATAGTAGGGTTTTAGGTCCCAAATTCCATCTTCTGAATGGTTCTTGGCACCCTCAACCCTACTATTTGAGTACTTGGACCCTTAGGGTGCGAGATTCGCGATGACCAGCTCTAAACCGTAAACCCTAAACCCTAAACCCTAAACCCTAAACCCTAAACCCTAACCCCTAAACCCTAAACCCTAAACCCCAAACCACCAGCTCGACAAGCAGATTCACGCTTACGACTGAGACCCTTAAGGCGAAGCCCTGGACCTGACGTCTCCTTATGGCTTAAAGCCCTCTGTCATGGGTTTAGGGTTTAGGGTTTAGAGTCTAGGGTTTAGGGTTTAGGGTTTAGAGTTAGTTCGTTGGGCTCTAAACCGTTCGAAATACAACTGATGATATAAATCCTGCATTACCGTAAGGACCCTAAACTCTATGGGAATTATGGCATATTCCTTATTATGCGTAATGCAGGATTTATATCATCAACCGTAGGAGCCATAAGAGCCTGAAAGTTAAGCTAGCAACAGGTACAGCAGGTGGCCGTGGATGGAGACAGCACCTCTGCACAGGCACGGCAAAGCGGACGTCGTTAGAAGGAGTCTCTTGCTAGGGGTTTCTATTACCGTCCCTTGTTTTCTGAACTCCCAAAACTACCAAGGTACAGTAAGGGACAAGTGCAGCGGCGTGATTGGGTTCTTGTGTGGAAGCCTGGCCTGAGAGTCCTCACACTTTTTGGACAAATGGTTCGAAAGGGCAGGAGAATGTCCCCGCCTCTGAACTGAGTAACATGGAACACTGGAACACCAAATGTCGCAATTTATCATTGCACGCGTGCCCGTGATATGATGCCGGTGTAAACCACTACCGATGACCCAACCCTAAACCCTAAACCGTCCGAGCCCAAGCCCAACCTGCCCAATAACCAGTGCGGAAGCACCCCTGGGGCAACAGCCTGCTTATGACCATTGGTAATTTTAGCTTTATCATTACTAAATTGCTGCGATCATGAGTATGACTACTAATCCGGCTATTCTGATGATGAGGGGTTTAGGGGTTTAGGGTTTAGGGCTTCATGATTATGGTTATGACTACTAAGCTTCGCAAGGCATCCGAACCAGGCGTTGCTAAGCGAAGAAGAATTATTGCTACTATTGTTATGATTGTGGTTACTGTTATTATCTTAGTACCATTTTTGTCCTAGTATTGTTCTTGTTGTTGTTGTTGTTGTTGTTGTTCATATTGTTTCTGTTATCACAGTTTCTTTTGTCATTATTGTTATACCATTACGATTACTATTGCTAGTACGATCGCTATTCTTCTTCTGCTATATTAAACACATGTACTATTTTTGTGTATATATGTATTATGTGTGTGTATATTTGTATACATACATGGACGGGCACTCAGGTTCCTCCGAAGGCACCCCTATTCTTGAAGCTGCCGCATGGGCCATCAGCTCGCCCCAAGGTGCCTTCCATTTTCCATCAGCGCGTGGAGTACTTAGGCTGGGGCCTGGCATGTTACCCTAAACCCTACCTTAAGAACCCAAAACTCAGTTTTTTCTAGGTTCTTATTATAAACCCTAATATGGGATTTATAGGGACCCTACCAAAAAAGTAGGTTTTGGGTTCTGAAGGTAAACCCTAAACCCTAAACGTTAGTCCCAAGCGGTCAGGTTTTAGTGTAGAGGGCTTATAGGGTAATGTAGGGGCAGTCATAATTAGAATAGGGTTTTGGGGGCCCATTATACGATAATGATAATAAGGAGCCCCCCAAAACCCTATTCTAATTATTTAGGCCCCATACATTATAGGGTTTAGGGCTGCACTTGAAGATGGACGTGGCTCACCTGTGCCCCAAACAAAGGTCCTGAGCTCTCAAACACGCCACCGACGCTTCGAAAGGTTAAGCCCCATTTACAACCTATACTCAACTGAGAAAACTCCGTTTTTGCCATCTTTCAGCTACTTCGTGACGTTTCCTGGCCCTTGTAGTGTTTAAGTTCCTTCGTGTTGTTTCCTGGCACTTCTAATGCTTAAGGTTCAGGGTCCAGGCCTGGAGTTTAGGAGTCCCTTGGTTTGGTTTCAAGGCTCCTCCGAGTGTTTTTGTTTGGTTTGGAGTTTAGGGTTTAGGGTTTGGGGTTTAAGGTTTAGGGTTTTGGGTTTAGGGCTTAAGGTTTAGGGTAAACCCACGATGTTCCATTCAGCGAAGATCGTGCGGACAGAGCCGACATTTGGCAAGCTTATTGGCAAGAATAGTTGCCAGCGGTGTCTCGAACATATAGGCCTAAACTCTACAACTACAGTGTAGGCTTGAGCCCAAACTCTGCAGAAGCTCGTTCTGCAAGCTGTTGAGGATGGATTCGGAACTCTGGAATCGGAAGCCTTATCCATGAATGCCCTGAATCCAAATGCGAGCCTTGGAAGTCTCTGATCTGAATTAACACAATCACTCACTTAGTCTACCCATCTTCCCTTCATGTTGGTGCAGCATGGTGCGGCCCTCTTCGGGACTTGTCACTTCGAGAGAGTCAACCCAGCCCTTCACCGAATCCCAAACTCCATGCCTCCCGAAGATCATTTCAATCCTGTAGCCTGTAATCTACACCCCTGTCCCTAAACCCTAAACCCCAAACCCTAAACCCTAAACCTAAACCCCAACCCTTAAGCCAATGCCCTGACCCTTCCAAATAGCTCTAACCCCGACAACCCTAAACCGCAAACCCTTATAGATCCCTTATGGATCCCTAACAAATAGCTCTAAACCCCATCCCTAAACCGTAAACCCTTATGGATCCCTAACAAATAGCTCTAAACCCCATCCCTAAACCGTAAACCCTTATAGATCCCTTATGATGGATCCCTAACAAATAGCTCTAAGCCCTCACCCTAAACCGCAAACCCTTATAGATCCCTTATGGATCCCTAACAAACGGGGGCTGCCGAAAATCGGGAACCCTAAGATAGTACCCTGAAATAGTAGGAGCCTTATTATAAGGGCCCTCAAAATAAGGCACCCCCCCTATTTTCGGAAACTCCCTAAACTTTAAACCCTAAACCCTAAACCCTAAACCCTAAACCCTAAACCCAAGATCTGCCTCAGAGGACTTGAGGTCACCAGGACTGGCGGCTGGGGTTTGGGCTAAAGCCGGGGCTTTCTCTGGGAGTTACTTAACCAGGGTTTTAGGTTTAGGGGTTTAGGGATTGGGGTTTAGGGATTGGGGTTTAGGGTTTGGGGTTTAGGGATTAGGGATTAGGGTTTGGGGCTTATATTTAGTGCATTAGGGCATCTTATCAGCAAAATATACTATGCTTATTAGGGGAGATCTACGAGAGATGGGTCTCCCAACCAGGGGTTTAGGGCTTCAGGGGTTTAGGGTTTTAGGGTTGAGGGGTTAGTTAGGGTTTGAGCTTAGAGCTTGGGGGGTTCAGCAGGTTAGGGTATAAGGGTGTAGGGGTTTGGGGTTCAGTCGGAACTTAGGGAGCCAAGAACCCCAAACCAGACCCTGATGCCTTGAAGTGCCATGAATTACCATCATAGCCCTGCTTAATTGAAAGGGTCCAAGCTTTATGCCTAATTCGCGCTATTCGGTATAGTTGTATCCCCCCTAAACCCTAAACCCTAAACCGTTGAAACCCTGTAAATCATGCATATGACATCAGACCGAAGCTCTCTTTCAGCCCTCCTACAAGCCTTGTTCCGAACTCTGATCAACAACGCACCATGAACGGTTTTTGGGGGTAGGGCAAAGCCCAAATCCTGGTAGTTCAGAGTTGGGAGCCTAAGGTGCAGGGTTTAGGGGTTGTGTTTTTAGGGTTTAGGGTTAGACTTTGCGTCTAGGGGGGGGGGGGGGGGGGGGGNNGGGTAGGGTGCAGGGTTTAAGGTTTATAGGCCTGAGGATCCGAAACCTTAAACCCCCCACCGCACCCCAAGCCCCAAACTCTACACTACCAGGAGCCTGCTTCTGGCCTTGCTCCGGATCTCGTCAGGGGTCTCGGATCCTCCGCATTCGAAGCTCAGGGCATCAGGGTTTTAGCGCCTGTTCTTGTTTAGAGCTTGAGTGTTTTGGGTTTGTGTTTGCTTTTTGGTCGATGCTTGTGTTTAGAAGTCAGGCGCGTTGTTTTTTTTTTGGGGGGGG